GCAGCTCCTTCCCTTCTACAAAGTAGGGCAGTCAAAGAGGAACCAACTGAGACAACCAAACCTCCTTATTTAAAAATATCTTAGGATAAGATAATAACAGTGATTTACATGCTATTTCTTTTTATACAACTGCCAATGATGCTTACAGTTAAACCTTACTTTAAATTGGGAAACAGAGATCAGTAACAGGAATAGCCTGGCATTTAAAATATGCAAGAAATCACAGAGATCCAAGATCCTTATATGGATTTTTACTTCTAGGCTTACCTAAAGAAAAAGGAACTTACTTTAAAGAACAAGATATCTAATATCACAACAATGCTAATAAGGTTCATTCAGAAGCCAGAGGTTTCCATTATTTAATGAACACTGATTAGCAATATTCCTAGCAGGAAGGGAAAGAGAAGATTGCTTCATTTGGAGACAGAGCTTGCATGTCTAAATTCCAGGTACGTCTGTGTTGTATTCAGATTTCTCAACACACCAGTGCTTCCAAAGGCACCTGATTTCTAACAAGGCATTTTTTACTGAACTAACACTTTCTAAGCCACATAAAGACCTCAATAGAAGGTTGCTGAAGCAGTAATAGTCTGATCAAAGGACTCTGAGCTAATCGCACCATCTAGTGTAAAACAGGGGAAAGTGCACTACAACTACTCAGTATGTTACACACATTTTCATTTTGTGGACTAGAACACCACAATTTCCTTACCTTCACAAATTGTAAAGAGCATTTATCATCGCAGTATGTCAACTCTTGCAAAGAACTGCTGAGGTGCTAACAGTTTCCCCAAATGTTAATACAGGAACATAACCAAAAACTTCCTTTTAAACTTCTGTGTTTGACATTCAAAGTTGCTGAAGCTATTACAAATTTTACCTTTTCCACACCAATAGGTAGATCAACCTTTAGCAGAAGCTTGCAGCTTTCTAATAGTTAGCGCATACAATCACAGTGAAGAGTGTATAGGAGAAGCTACCTGACAGTTCATGGAGAAATCTGAGGGTACAAAAGTGGAAAGCACAATGAAAAGAGGATCCTCTTTTCATCTTAACTGTTCTTTCTTATTATTATCTTCCAACAGGAAGTGATGTGGCTATGGTCCACCAGAGTGTAGGGACTCAAAAGATAACAAGACTGACTAGCCCGTGTTAGAAAACCTCTACACATTCCCAAAGAGTTTTTAGCATTATTGGTATCTGAATGTCTCTTTTCATAATGGCTGAGGACCATATTTCTGATTATTAAGCAAATAGAACTGCTGAGATGTCAAAGAAAATTTGCTTTACAGCTTGGTATCTGACAAAACCCAATCCCTTTGAAGTATCCAGTAGAGACTAAGTCCACTAGGATAATTGTGTACTACATCAAAGTACATAATCCAGAAAGTGAAACTACAGAAAACTTCTTTACTACTTTGTACAAACAGCTTGGAATCCATTATGAGATATATTTGTACTATGCAACACAATGCATCAAGCAGTTGAATTGCACATGTGTTCATAAAGATGGGCTGAATGTTTGTGCTGAGGATTAGAAAGTCTTTCAAAAATCCCTGGGACACTGTACTTACAAATATATGCAGTGGTAAAGACAGGTCAATGACTTATCCTTCTGAATCTCAACTATTCATTAAAATTCTAGCTGTAATAATGCAAGACTGTGACAAAAACCTCAAGCTGCCTTATGAATGCACACTGAGATACTCACTAGGAATTTAGAGTGAGGGCAGTGTGATGGTACCAATCATGCTACCTGAGCAAACAGTGTATAAATAACTCTTACGGCTTCCAGAGATGGCTGTGGTACAGTTTAGTTTGCAGCCACACTAGAGGGGAGCTTTCTAATTGCACAATCTTCACATGTTTCTTTCCAAATGAACACAATTGCATGGAAACAAGCAATGTTGTCCTAAGTGACTTGAGTTTGGCAGAGTAAAAAGTGAGATGATTAAGATGGACGCGTGGCTTGGCCTTGAGATCATCCTTTGGTTCCAAAACATCTTTGTTATATTATTTCAATGCTCAACATTTTCATTTTATTATGCTAGTAAGTGTAATATAATGAGACTTCATTGCATCCTTTCAATACTGAAAAGAGGATTATAAAAAACAAAACTTAATTTTTTACAAAATATGATAGTGATACTACAAGAAGAAATGATTTGAAACTAAAAAGGGAAGAGTTAGGTCAGATTTTAGTAGGAAGCCTTTTATCCAGAGCATATTGAGGCCTTGGCATAGGCTGCTCAGAGAAGCTGTGGATGCCTTGTCTCTGGAGGTGCTCAAGGTTAGATTGGATGTGGCCCTGGGCAGCTGATCTGGTGAGTGGCAACCAGCCCATAGCAGAGGGAGGCTCTGACATCCTTTCCAATCCAAGCCATTTTATCATTTTATGGTTCTGTGATACTACTGTTTCATCATTCTATCATTCTGATTCATTCATTCTATGAAATACAAACTTTGGAAAGTCATCCTGTCATCAGGGCTCTTTGCAGAGCACAAAAGACCGCCTCAGAAATTTGTTGAGAGGTGTAGCGTGCTGCTGCAGATCCCACTGTGAAACACAGGTAAGTCAGGCAGTTATTTTAACCCCACTGAGTCAGAGTGCCATCCCCCTGCCCATGTGACATGCTTGCAGGCTGGGTCAGGCTGACAGTCTTAGTGACACAGGAGTATGGGATCCCTCTCAGTAAAAAGTTATGACTCTGATTTACACACAGATTCCCTTTGCAGCAAATGTCCTGACCTGTATCTAGAAAACAGAGGCAGAACCAGTCAGTCTTTCCAGTGCAGATAGCTCTCATTGGAGTTTCCTGACAGTTTTATCCCACTCCAAATGCCAATGTCTTCTCAGTCATAAAACCAGTGCTGACAAGCTGTATTTTGACTTCAGCATTTGTTCTATATCCTCCGAGTAGGATTTCAGCAGTTCCATATCTCACACAAGAGAGCAAAATATGTAAATTCCAGGCATTTTCCCTGGGAGGGCACACTACGAGTTGAGAGGCAGCGTGCCCCAGATTTAAGTTATTATTCAGTGCAGCCATGTTGTGAAGAATACTGCTGTGAAGAAAGTGGAATACTGAAGAGCATTTAGGAATAGGGTGAAAAATCCATAGTCTAAAAAAATCCAATAACCTATTCTGATTGGGTTTTAGAGAGTTTTGAATGGTATTTCTCAAATATGCAGAAATTTAATTAACACAAATCTTTTGAATGGGAATTACTGTTGAACATCAGAAACAAAAGTGAATCCAAAGTGGACATTTCAGACAGGCAGGGTACCACAATGTCATGGATTTACTTCAGCCTCCAGAGCTAATTCTCTTCTGAAGGGTGAAAGACAAGGGTAAAAGACTGCACAAGAAAAAGCAGAAACTTCAAAACCATCTGAAGAGATCAATTACTAAATTTAGACTATGTGGCAGACATGAGACATTACATCCAATGTGGGTCTGAGGGAAAGATGGGAAAGGGACAGAGCCAAAGACAGAAATCCTCCCACTCAGTGAAGAACTTGCAGGACATAATGAATTCCTAAAGGAAACACTTCACTGCTTTTCATCTACACATCTGGAAGCAACTATTGAAAACATCCTACTATTGCAGAAGTGATTACACTGGGGCCCATTGAAGATAATAGATATCTCTGGATCTGCAGATATCTCTGAATACTCTTCACCTCAAATAGAGTAGGGATGTCTCTCTTGCAGGCAAGAATTTTTTTAGTCTGCTGTTTTCCCTTGAGATTACACTGAAGTTAAATGGAGGTCATCCTTTGCAAATAACCGAATTCACCTACTTCTGCATAAAGAAATGTAACACTGGTGATTTCTACAGTGGAAGTTAGGTAGGCAATGTGGAATCCTTCTAAAGCATGAAAAGGCAAACTATGTATAAAAACTACACAAAGAAATAACAAGACCATCAGAAAAAAATTGTTTCAGTTGGTTATTCCACGAAGGCTCGATGAATGCCAGATGAATTCACATCAGTCTTTAATAGTAAATATTTGTTTTCACTTGCCACAACACTGTAATCACTCTACTGGACAAGCAATGACCATTTCATAGCCTTTTGGCACTGGAATGTGTAAAACCTGTCTGCCTTATTGGCTTCTTAGTTAACAGCCTGAACAAATCCATTACCCAGAACATCACCACCATTATTAAAAATATTTCACTTTTTTTCCGCCCTTTTCTAGGCAGAAAGAAAAGAACAACCAATAAGAATACTATTGTGCTCCTTTTACTAAAGGAGTTTCAGGAACTTCTTCAAACTGTTGCAAAAGAGCAAAATTTTCCAAAATTGAATTATTTTTGGTTAATATCCAGGTTCACCATGAAGATAAACATTTTGCCCAGTCAAATGTGTCAGAGAACATCATACGCAGACACACACACACAAAATCCCTGTAAGTAGTTGCTTTCATTGACAGAAAGGTGTCTGTACATCACTCGGAATGGTAACAAAACCCACAGAAAGCAGCAAATGTTTGAGCAGTAGATCTGAATGGTGACAAATGAGTTCCCTTTTCATTTCACATCTTATGACTTTGATGTAACTATATGACTTGATATAACTATATAACTTTGAGAGATGGAAAAAACAGGATTCCATCAAATGGCACTTTTTTCTTTTCTTTTTTTTTTTTTTTCAATTTATGAGGACAATCAGGAAGGAAATCCTTCTGTTAGAAAATCATGGTAGCAATGAGAACATACATTATTCTTTTTCAGTGTAAGAAAAGAAGGCTCATTTGCCAGGAGTGATTTTTCCTCAAGCAAAAAGCTCACATCTCAATACAAGCTTTGCCAGCTACACCATCACCTATCCCAATACAGCCTCAAAATCCAGACACGGGACAATCAAATCTAACAAGTACATTCCAAAACACAGTTTGGCTGTTTGCACAACAAGATAAGGTTCTCAGGGGCCTTCATATTATACAGTTTCTCATACTGGAGAGTCAAAGCCACAGCAAACACTGATCCTACCTTCAAAGGAGAAATGTGCGACTGTAAGACATATCCATGGACATTCTCTATTTGAGATAAGTTCTTCTCTGACACATGAACAAGCTCTGGGCCTCTCACTTCATGGGTCAATCGAGGCAAAGTATGATCATGTGGAACATCCTCATCTTGATAACGGTATTTCTAGAAAAAAAAAGATAAAGAGGGAGAAATAAGTTTTCAGGAAACAATGGCTATGTGTTAATGTAAATATCAGATACTGGATAAGCTACGAGACATTAATATAACTCTTGGGTTTTCTAATCTCTTCTAGAAAGAATACTTAATTCTTTATTTAACATTTCATCAGTGAGAGAAAGCCTCGTACATAGCTCGCTCCAAAAGTAATGCCTCCTATTTCTTTCCAGTGAAACTACAACAGACACAAAGAGCATGATAGCACTATTTGATTGAGCCACTTCTCAGCTACAAAACACTTTTTTTCAATATAGTAACCACTATTAGCTATGTTTTGTTTTATTTTGTTTTGCCAGTGATGAACAAGTGTCTGCATGTTGCACTAGTAAAAATCTGCATGAGCAAAGGTGAGCCACTGTTCTTGTCACCATTGCTGAGACACACCACCCACCACCTCGTTGTGCTCACATACACTGTTTGGTCTCCATAAATGTTCAGCAAGCATCGACAAATGTCAATGGGTGCCATTTTTTCTACATGAAGGAATTCAGTTCCACACTTCGCCACTTTTTCTGCGTGGAAGAATTTGATACCTTGGCTTCACACACTTCCATGTCAGAATGTCTTTTAGTTAGGCTGCCCCTCTGCTGCCACCTGCCACAGGGCAGCAAAATGTAAGGGAATACTCACGGGGAGATTCAGCTTCTACTCCCATCATTCACCTTCAGTGTCTTGGGCCAACATAATAAAACAGGAGGCATTACTTTTGGAGCAGCCCTCACATCATCACATGGATACAGTAGACTTGCTATCTTCACATAGACATCTGAGAGCACATTCTGGCATGGGCCAGTACTGACAACAGTGTTACGTTGCTCTGCTGAGCTGTAGAGCCTTCTCACACTCTTCACACCCTGACAATAATAACTGCACTTTTGTAGCTTTTCTGAACAAAATACTTGAGTTATTTTCCATTTTGCCATGGATTTTGCAATGCATTTCCGTGGATAAAGAAGAGCACACATGCATTTCTATAGAGCCATGGGCAGGTGAAACTTATTTTCCATTGAAAACATTTCCCCTGACCCCGCAGACTAATTGTGTTGTGAGGTGTTTTAACTTCCCTTTCCACAGAAAAGTAACAGAAGAAAGAGAGAAAGTGAGCAGCTTGACCAGAGCATGAAGGATGTAACTGTAACCCTCAAAATCAAATTAGATTGCCAGACCTCAGACTCCTTTTCACAGGGCACCTTCCCCTCAGAGAACAGGCTCAGCCATGAGTGGGCCTGCTGTGGAATCGACTGTGGGTTTCTTCCAACTTGGGTTATTCTGTATTGCTAATGGCTGAATCTGGAGTGGGGCAGAACCTTCCTCTCCTCACAAAGCCCAGCCCTGCAGCCCCCATCTTCCAAAACCTTGCCTTTTATTCCCAATGCACGTACAGCAGTTTTGAGGGAAAAAACTACAGAACGGGTAATTTCTCTTCTCCAGGCTAAACAAATCCACCTCCCTCAGCCTTTCTTCATAGGAGAGGTGGAGCAGCCCCTTGGTCAGTCATCCTTATGGCCCTTCTCTGGACCAACTTAACAGTGCTGCATCTTTCTTGTGCTCATAGTGTTTTTTAGTGTAACTGTAAATGCTTTCATTTGAAAGGTATGCGCTCAAACATTGCAATGTGTGGAATCAAAGGCTATGGAAAAGACAAAATCTAAGACTTATTTGAATGTTCAAACAGGAAAACAGTGCTGTTTCAAGTTCAGGTATGCCCATAAAGACTTTGCAAAGCGGAATTCTCTGCTGTTCCTGCCACTCACTTGGAGCACCAGGCCCTGGTGCATCATTTACTTATCCTTCCAAAGGATATCCTCCTGGTTTATTCCTGCTTTCACCTTGATATGTGGAAGCATTTGCCAATTATTTTTCAAATATCCATGTGACATGATTGATTCTCTTTTTTCTTTCTGGGATATACCTGCAACCATTTACATACTTACTTTTCAGATAACATAATTAGTGAATCTACAAAATGACTGGCACCAGAAACGTATTCTTCGGGCAAGAAGCCATCAGCCTAATAGACAGCATTCCAACCAATGTTCCATTAAAGTCTTGGCACACAAATCACTTAAGCCCCAAGCAGTCCATTATATTTTGAATCCAGCAAGTACTCTTTCCAAAAAAGACTACTACTCAGAGACATCCTCTCTAAAGTGAGTCATCTGCTAAAAGGTGGTTTTGAGAAAGAGCTGCAGAACACCAGACTCATCCCATCTTATTGGGAAATGACAAAAATGAAAATGTCCTGCAACCACTTTCCAAACAGGCACGACAGCAGTGGCTGAAGCCCTGAGGATATTTGGCTGGATCATTCACTCAGCTTAACAGCACAAAAAGCAGCATAAGGTGGAATTAAAGAGAGAACATTTCTTCATGTCCATCAGTAAGACCTTTTCCCATCACCACACTGCAGTGTGCACGTTATAAATGAGAGCCAAGTTCCAGAGTAGATTAGATGACCATGAGCTCTGTGCTCCTGAAAAGCAGAACACTTTCTGTAGACCTTTCATTGAAATCATATACTTTCTAATTGAAGTCTATAATTTTGTCTGATAACTGTGTATTTCCACAACAAATTAGATAACATCCAAGTTCATTTGCCATAAACTGGAAAGTTTACAGAACAGAATGACACTTCTCTACTTATCTTTATCTCCCTCCCATCCTGAGGCCAGCTTTCCCATTACTCATAAGGTAGAAGCCTAGAGCATTTCTGGGTCAATCCTGTTACATGTTTGCATCATGTTCTTAGCATCAAACTCATTGATTGTCATGCATCTGTCCTCCCACATTATCTCCTCACTGAAATGCCTTCAGCAGTGAACCAAATCAGCTTGACACAGCAAAAAGCCAGGGGTAAGGAAAGTTTCTGAGAACATAAGGCTGAAAATACCAAACCAGAGCTGAGATTCTCCTGCACGAATGCCTCATGTGTCTACATTATCCTGTTCTAATGGATTTCAGTAAATGTACTTGAAGTTACCCAGTTCCCTAGAAACTGAGCTTTCTGTAAGGGTTAATTCAAATTTCTGGAGGGAAAGTCATGATTGCACGGAAGTGCTACTCTTCATTTGACAAAAGAACAGGTGGATGTCTTATGATAATTAAATTACAAATCAGTGCCTGCTGCTGACAGAGTATTGTACGCTGCCAAGTAGCATCAGATATTTAAAATCCTCTGTAATTACCTATAATGGGGGAGTAGAGTGTGCTGCTGTGAATTTTTAATATGAACGTGCCTTTTTTATGTGATCATTCTCTCTAAAATGTGAGGTTATTGCAGCATCGCTGCTCCTCACACTGTACTGTCTAAAGGAACATTCCTAAGGCTGTGTTTGTCAGGTAGATGTCAGCTAAACAGGACTGAAGATGTGAGTCCAGCAGAGGTGAATGGTCAAAAACCTTAAATGTGAGCAAAGTCAACTCTCCAGAAAAAAAAAAAAAAAAGACACTATCACTAACAAATTATAATATCCAAATTAAAGCACCTGAATGGAAATAGAGCTACACTGCCAGTGAATGAAGCTCTTTGGGAAGACGTCATTCTAGTTGGGGCTAAAGAGGATTTTCTTTTACAAAAGTCCTAAGTGCTCTTTTCAGGTAGTTTTGCTTCACAGAAAGTGCAAACAAAAAGCTTCATTTTAGATCAACTCAAACTGATCTGTGCCCTAAGCTGAACATGATCCTACTAAAGTTGCCATTCAAAGGCACGTGTCCCTGCTCTTCATATGGATGGATCACATCAAAACATTACACATTACTTCTGCTAGCAATGAGAGCTGCAAAAGAAAGCAAAGTTTATTACAGGATTCACAAGGCTCTATAACATCCTATAAAGTAAAAGCGGCCAGGGAATATTGGTCTAGAGAGGCTCTCAACCTACAGGAAAGTACTCTGACATCTGTAACATATAAAGATGAATGAATCAAGGTAAAATTTTGATGTGTCTTCACTCAGCTGAAGCATTATTATAGATACAGCTGATAGATGTCAGAAATGGAAAAAGATGCTGCAACATAGTATGAAGTGGTAGTCCTTTCATGAGTGGATCCTATTCCCAATCTCTCTTTAAAGCCAGTTGATCAGGAAGATTTTGTTTTAGTCAGAACAGTAAGTTTTGCCAAAGGAAACAATAGCAGTACTACGTTTTAGTTCTTAAGCATCAGCACTTTAAGTCTCAAATCCTATTGAAGTTTTACAGCCATCCTCAGGATGGGTCAGACCTGCACATCTTAGAAGTGGCAGGCCTTCATATAACCCACATAATTTGGAGAAGATCACTGCGAAAGTAATTTTTGCAGAAAAATTTCTTCTGGATACAATGACCCCTTAAAGATTCAGTCACCCTACTGGGGCTAAACAATGCATGCAACCTTCTCCTCATCCCTTCCTCACTTGCCTCTTCCCTCAACCCAGGATTTGAGTTTCTTTGAAATACCCCATCTCTAGTCATCTGCAGGAACTCTTATTGAAAACCACCTTTGAGCAGGTAAAGCAACAATCCCCTTCTGCACAATATTAGGTCCAGAATTCAATACTCTAAATTGGTTCACATTCTTAGCTACAGGCAAAAGCTAAAAACATTTGATGTAGGATTTGGTCCATTTAGATAAAAGTTTAATCCATGGAGGCCCACTAAAAAATGTCAGCACCCCTTTGTCTTGCTTTTGTGATCAGAAATTTCAGTGGTCTTTGATGAGTTGAATTTTACTGGCTTTGCTCTTCAGGGGCAACAAATTTCAATGTCATACAGATGAGTATCTTGAGAAAACAAACTTTATGATTTGCACACACAAGTCCTTGGGCATTCATCCAATCATGAGTAGAAATAACGTTACTCATTCAACTGATTGCAAATGAGCAACACAGCTTGAATTCTGAATATTTGCAATCAATCTATAGAGTAAAAAGGGAAAAAAAATACTCTTCTCATTACATAAAATGGAAGA